AAGGTTGAACCTTCGCCCCCAGTCCGAGGTCCTGAGCGCTCTGGAGCAGGTTTTCATCAAGGATCTCTCTGTACTTTGCTCCGTTCATCTTTTCCTCAATCCTGACTAGTCTCCCAGTCCCTTCCGCTGAAAAACATCCCCACAGCATGATTTTGCCACCACCATGCTTCACCGTAGGGATGGTGCCAGGTTTCCTCCAGACGTGACGCTTGGCATTCAGGCCAAAGAGTTCAATCTTGGTTTCATCAGACTAGAGAATCTTGTTTCTTTAGGTTCCTTTTGGCAAACTCCAAGTGGGCTGTCATGTGCCTTTTACTGAGGAGTGGCTTCCGTCTGGCCACTCTACCATAAAGGCCTGGTTGGTTGAGTGCTGCAGAGATGGTTGTCCTTCTGGAAGGTTCTCCCATCTCCACAGAGGAACTCTAGAGCTCTATCAGAGTGACTATCAGGTTCTTGGGGACCTTCAATCCTGCAGACATATTTTGGTACCCTTCCCCAGACAATTCCTTCGACCTCATGGCTTGGTTTTAACTCTGACATGCACTGTCAACTGTGGGACCTTATATAGACAGGTGTGTGCCTTTCCAAATCATGTCCTATCAATTGAATTTACCACAGTTGGACTCGAAGTTGTAGAAACATCTCAAGGATGATCAATGGAAACAGGATGCACCTGAGCTCCCGAGTGGCGCAGTGGTCTATGGCACTGCATCGCAGTGCTAGCTGTGCCACTAGAGATCCTGGTTCGAATCCAGGCTCTGTTGTAGCCGGCTGTGACCGGGAGACCCATGGGGCGGCGCACAATTGGCCCAGGGTAGGGGAGGGAATGGCCGGAAGGGATGTAGCTCAGTTAGTAGAGCATGGCATTTGCAACGCCAGGGTTGTGGGTTCGATTCCCACGGGGGACCAGTATGAAAAAAAGTATGTATGCACTCACTAACTGTAAGTCGCTCTGGATAAGAGCATCTGCTAAATGACTAAAATGTAAAACATTTAAATAGCAAAGGGTCTGAATACTTATGTAAATAAGGTATTTCAGTTTTTTTTTTTTTTTATACATCTGCAAAAATTTCTAAAAACCTGTTTTCGCTTTGTCATTATGGGGTATTGTGTGTAGATTGCTGAGGAGTTTCCAGAGCTTTTTTTTACATCTCTAGATTTAGGACAGACACTTCAAAACCTTGTTTCTTATTATTACTTTTTTGACTGTCCTTTTTGCCATTTATGAATGTGTTATTCAATGCGTTTCTATGGGCTTTAGTTACTAAAGGCCAAAATCTATATTTTTATATATTTTTTTAATACCTAAAGGGTCCTAACATTTAAAGTCAAATAGCTAAATGATCCATATGACCGTTTTACAACAATTCCATATGCCAGCTTAGCAATGAACGCCGCAGATGGGATGAGCGCCTGGGGAGGGATGGGGGGATGGAAGGAGGGAGGCATAGAGGGGTGAAATCAGGAAGAAGAGAAGAGGATTCGACACTTATGGAACGGCTCCAAAAAGAAAAGAGAAAGTGATAAGAAGGAAAAGAAGAAGAGAGGGTTAAAAGAGAAAGGGACAGCAGCGATGGAGCGATGAGAGAGTTTTGGCGGGACACCTCCTCTGTGCTCGGGCCCCATACAGGGCCTGTTGGCCTCCCAGGGTACTGGGTTACTGAAGATCTGTTTTCCTTGAGGGCCTACTGGATGTGTGTGTGTGTGTGTGTGTGTGTGTGTGTGTGTGTGTGTGTGTGTGTGTGTGTGTGTGTGTGTGTGTGTGTTTGTGTGTGTGTGTTTGTGTGTGTGTGTGTGTAGGGAACAGGTGGGGTAAACTTCAGATATCAGCCTTCCCTTCGAGACGTTATGTCCGCCCCACAAACTTTGAATATACATAATTGCACCACACACACACACACACACACACACACACACACACACACACACACACACACACAGTACTGTATGTCACTGTATGTCACACTTTACACCACTCTAAATTACATACAGTAAGTTATGAATAAGTGAGGCTTAAAAGCATGGGTTTAAAAAGGACAGCGCAATTATAGCTGCACAGCTGCACAGGGTGACATAGGTTGACCTTGATATCCATCAGTTGTACACTTCTGTAGTATAATTACAAGGAGGGCTATAGTGCACCATACTAATCCCTGTTGTGTGTGTGTGTATGCCTGTATACGTGTGTGTGAGTATATGTGTGTATCTGCATATCTCTCTATGTGTTTAAACTTGTCACGATCGTCGGATATAGAGGACCAAGGCGCAGCGTGGAAGGTGAACATACTTATTTATTAAATGATACACGAACAAAACAACAAATCGATACGTGACGTCCACAGGTGCAAGGTACAAAACAACACGGAACAAGATCCCACAAACACTGTGGGAAAACCTCCTGACTAAATATGGTTCCCAATCAGAGACAACCAGCAACAGCTGATACTCGTTGCCTCTGATTGAGAACCACTCTGGCCAACATAGATATACAAAAACTAGACTAGACACAACGAGCACAAAACATAAACTCTACACACCCTGGCTCAACTTAAAAGAGTCCCTAGAGCCAGGGCGTGACAGTACCCCCCCCCCCTAAAGGCGCGGACTGCGACCGCGCCTAAACATCACCGAACAGGGGAGGGCTGGGTGGGCATTCCTCCTCGGAGGCGGTTCCAGCTCCGGGCTTGACCACCACCCTCTACTTAACCCCCCGTAGTGCCCCTGGTCTGGTCTAGCCCCACTGGCTGGAGCTGGACTGGACTTCAGTGGAGCGGATTGCTCAGGCTCCGGTGTGGAGCAGCTGACCGGTACCTGACCAGGCACTGGTGAAACGGGCACGGGCTGGCGATGCACACCACAGGTTTGGTGCGGGGAGCAGGAACAGACCGGACCAGGCTGGCGACGCGCACCATTGGCTTGGTGCGGGGAGCAGGAACAGGCCGGGCCGGGCTGGCGACGCGCACCACTAGCTTGGTGCGGGGAGCAGGAACAGGCCGGACCGGGCTGGCGACGCGCACCATTGGCTTGGTGCGGGGAGCAGGAACAGGCCGGGCCGGGCTGGCGACGCGCACCATAGGCTTGGTGCGAGGGGCAGGAACAGGCCGGGCCGGGCTGGCGACACGCACCATAGGCTTGGCGCGATGGACAGGAACAGGCCGGACCGTACTGGGAACACACACCACTGGCCTTACACGGGGATCAGGAACGGGCCGGACCGGACTGGCAACACACTTCAGTACCTCTCGCCGTGCCTCTACATTTTCCTTCCCTCTATACACCAATGGCTCCCGTAACCCGTGGCCTTCTCTCCTCGTCCACCAACTCGCCCCTTATCTGCCTCCAATGGCCCCGTCGTCCCTGCCATGTGCCCCCCCCTAAACATTTCTTGGGGGTGCCCCTCGCCTGTCCGACGACTGCCCGGTTGGCGCCGCTTCTCCTCTCCTGCCTGGGCACGCTGCTTGGTCCTGTATTGGTGGGATCTTCTGTCACGATCGTCGGATATAGAGGACCAAGCCGCAGCGTGGAAGGTGAACATACTTATTTATTAAATGATACACGAACAAAACAACAAATCGATACGTGACGTCCACAGGTGCAAAACACAAACCAACACGGAACAAGATCCCACAAACACTGTGGGAAAACCACCTGACTAAATATGGTTCCCAATCAGAGACAACCAGCAACAGCTGATACTCATTGCCTCTGATTGAGAACCACTCTGGCCAACATAGATATACAAAAACTAGACTAGACACAACGAGCACAAAACATAAACTCTACACACCCTGGCTCAACTTAAAAGAGTCCCTAGAGCCAGGGCGTGACAAAACGTATGTGTGTATACTGTATAAAATATCAGTGTGTGTGTGTGTATTGGTGCATAATTCAGGGTTTGACTGGTGCGGTGTGGTAAGACGAGCTGAGATCAGCCAGAGGACAGGGGTTAATATAACTTTTACTGCAAAAACATTGAGAGAACATCATTAGTCATAGAAGAGATGGAGAGCACAGAGCTTCCCCAGCCTCAGGCCAGGGAGAGAGAGGGAGGCAGGGAGGGCGAGAGAGAGACGGAGGGAGAGTGTGTGTGTGTGTGTGCGCATGTTTTTGCGCATGAAAGAGAGTGTTTCAAAAAAGAGAGAGAGAGAGAGCGTCAAAATTCGGCCATAGTTAACAAGGCAATAAGTACAAGGTCTAATTCTCGGTGGTCTTTTACTAAAAAACGCAGAGAGGAACATTTACTGGTGCTCAATAAATACATCTCTGGGTAATATCATACAGGAGATAACTCCTACTTCTCTGCACCTCCATTGACTTCTTTATTATTGTTCTGCTTTTAAATATTCATATTTTCTCCGTTTTTTATTATTATTATTAGCCTACTGTAAGAGTATATGGATGACTCTGTGATGGCCTAAATCTGGCCTATAAGAGTTTGCTTATATTTGGTCATGCTTACCTTACCACGTGTGGCCAGGTTGACTGATGGAGTGATGAGCGATGACTTCAGTTTGATTCTGAAAACTTCCTTTAGTCTCTTACTGTTCCATAAGAAGGAGGCAGCAGATACAGTAGTGTGCTTTGTTTTAAATAGGTTTTGGTGGTCTGGATTTGTTTTAAATCGGAGGCCATGACTGTGTGTGTGTGTGTGTGTGTGTGTGTGTGTGTGTGTGTGTAGTTGTGCATGTCTGTGTCCACGCACATACTACATGTGTGGTCAGGTGTTTGCTGACACCCGTGTGTAATTTTCCCATCTCTCCTCCTTTCTCACTCACTCTCTCTAATTTATTTTGTCGTTGTTTATTCCTTGTCTTCTCCATGTTTCTGATGACACTCACAGACAAGCTGATGATAGTAAAGCGGCTCATGCGAAAAACATAAACACTAAACTCTGTAATAATAGTATTATACTAATGAGCGTGGCTGACAGAGCGAAAACAAGCAGTCTTTCTAAAGACACCATCCACACCTCCTCATATTCTCCCACTTCCAATTCCCAGCATAGATCTCAGCTTTGAAGGCACGCATCGCAGTATCAAGAGAATCCCCCCTTCTCAACAGATGCTAGGTGAGGCGCGGTGCAGGTGGGCGGGCGGATGGGCTGTATGTAGCCAATTTGAGTTCAAAAGAATTGGCCCAAAAGAAAAAAGGAAATAAAGAAAAAAAATATTGTATGCGAAAGTTGAAACTGGAAATGTAATAATTGAATTGTATGAAAAAAGAAACGTATTCAAATGTATTGAACATTATTTTGAAAGCATTCAGTTGATGTTTGCATCCAATCTTAAAGTTTCTTTGGTCAAACAACTTATTTTCACTCTTGGTTCTTGTCCTTGTGATGACAATTGTTTTCCACCTTCCTTCAAGTCATCTTTTCTCTGCACCAAGTTTTGGTACTCTTTGACGTGGAGGCAGGGTTATGGGGAATGGGGCGTGTTTTTCCTGGTAATAAAGGTCATGGAGATCTGCTTCTGGCAACTACTTCCTGTTTTTAGCTGTTGGTCACCTGTATTGGTGTCACGGATTCTGCCGAGGCTGCCCCTCCTCCTTGCTCGGACAGGCTTCGGCGTTTGTCGTCACCGGAATACTAGCTGCTGCCGATCTATGTTCTATGTTTCTATGTTGCACCTGTTGTCTATTGTTACACACCTGTTGCCCATTATTGGGATCACTCCTTCCCTATTTAATCCAGTGGCTCCCAATGTGTTTTGTGCGTGGTTGTTTTTCGTTTCCTGTGTAGTTGGTTAGCGGGTTAGTTCCTCCCTGTGTGGAGGTATTCTGTGTTGCATTCTTTACTTATTTCAGTAAAGTACGTTTCTTCGAGTTCTGTTTCCTGCGCCTGACTTCGAACCACCGCATTACACTGACACTCGTGACAGAACCACGCACCATTTATGGAGTCAGCAGGTACAGCCAGTCAGTCCGAATCGATGGAGGAACGATTTCAACGACAGGAGAGTATCATCCAGGCTCTCGGCACCGCCATGGAGAGGGTGATGAATACCATGGACCGTTGGGAGAGAGGTGACCTGCCTACACCTCCTCCAACCACTCTACCACCCATACCACAGTCCACCCCTTCGCCACCTGGGCCCAGTGGGATTCGGCTCTCGCTCCCGAGGGCATATGACGGTACACCAGCCGGGTGTCAGGGTTTCCTTCTCCAGGTAGAGCCCTACCTGGCAACCATTCACCCGGCGCCCTCGGGATACGAGAGCGTGTCCGCCCTCATCTCCTGTCTGTCTGGGAAGGCGCTCGAGTGGGCCAACGCCGAGTGGGGAGGAATTGACGCTACACCGGTCCGCTACGAGGATTTCACCCGCCGCTTCCGGGCGGTATTCGATCATCCACCGGAGGGGAGAGCAGCGGGCGAGTGTCTGTTCCACATAAGACAGGAGAGGAGGAGCGCCCAGGATTTTGCGCTGGAGTTCAGGACATTGGCAGCCAGCGCCGGATGGAATGAGAGGGCCCTGATCGACCACTATCGGTGCAGCCTAAGGGAGGACGTTCGGCGGGAACTGGCCTGCAGGGATACCAATCTCAACCTGGACCAACTGGTGGAGATGTCCATCAGGCTGGATAACCTGTTGGAAACCCGCGGACGTTCTGATCAGGGCCCATTCATTCCATCCCCCAGCACCTCCGTCTCTACCCTCATGGAGCTTGGAGGTGCTGCGCTTAGGGAGACCAGGAGAGGGGCCGTCCCCTGCACCAACTGTGGCCGCAGAGGACACACTGCGGGTCGGTGCTGGGGAGGGTCCCCAGGGAGTCGAGGCAGTAAGCAGAGCACTGGTCGACCATCTCAGGTGAGTAAGCACCCGAGTCACCCAGAGCTCCCTGTTGGTCAGTTGTGTATAGAGGTTGTGTTTCCAGAGTTTTCTCCTCATTCCCAGCATAAGGCGCTAGTCGATTCAGGCGCAGCTGGGAATTTTATTGATCGTCAATATTCTCATAGTTTAGGGATTCCTACTGTTGGTGTTGATGTGCCCTTCCCTGTCCACGCATTAGATAGTCGCCCGCTAGGGTCAGGACTAATAAGGGAGGTTACCGCACCACTCTTAATGAGGACGCAGGGGGGTCATGAGGAGAGGATTAGTCTCTATCTGATTGATTCTCCTGCGTATCCTGTGGTGTTGGGACTTCCCTGGTTAACCACTCATGATCCCACTATTTCCTGGCAACAGAGGGCTCTCAAGGGATGGTCCAGTCAGTGCTCAGGGAGGTGGGTAGGGGTTTCCTTGGGGGCTACTACGGAGGAGAGTCCAAACCAGGTCTCCACAGTGCACATTCCTTTCGAGTATGCCGATTTGGCTCTCGCCTTCAGTAAAAAGAGGGCGACTAAATTACCACCCCATCGTCCGGGGGATTGTGCAATAAATCTCCAGGTAGGCGCTGCACTTCCCTGGAGTCACGTGTATCCTCTGTCACAGGCGGAGAAGTCGGCTATGGAAACATATGTCTCTGAATCTCTGAGACAGGGATACAATCGGCCTTCCACTTCACCTGTTTCCTCAAGTTTCTTTTTTCGTGAAGAAGAAGGATGGTGGGTTACGCCCGTGCATTGATTACCATGGGCTTAATCAGATCACTGTCAAGTACAGCGTTCCCTTACCTCTGATAGCATGTATGACGGAATCACTGCACGGGGCGCGCTTCTTCACGAAATTGGATCTCAGGAGCGCGTACAATCTGGTGCGTATTCGGGAGATAGATGAGTGGAAGACGGCTTTCAGCACCACCTCAGGACACTATGAGTACCTCGTCATGCCATACAGGTTGATGAATACTCCATCAGTCTTCCAAGCCTTTGTCGATGAGATTTTCAGGGATCTGCATGGACAGGGTGTAGTGGTGTATATTGATGACATTCTCATATACTCCGCTACACGGGCCGAGCATGTGTCCCTGCTGCGTAAAGTACTTGGACAACTGTTGAAGCATGACCTGTATGCCAAGGCGGGGAAAAGCCTGTTCTTTCAGGAGTCCATCTCCTTCCTAGGGTACCACATGTCCGCGTCTGGGGTGAAGATGGAAAGTGACCGCATTTCGGCCATGCGTAATTGGCCGACTCCAACCACGGTGAAGGAGGTGCAGCAATTTTTGGGATTTGCCAATTACTACCAGAGGTTTATCCGGGGCTTTGGTCAGGTAGCGGCTCCCATTACCTCGTTGCTGAAGGGGGGACCGGTGCGTCTGTGGTGGTCAGCTGAGACGGACAGGGCGTTCAATCATCTGAAGAACCTGTTTACCTCGGCTCCAGTGCTGGCTCATCCGGATCCCTCCTTGGCTTTCACGGTTGAGGTGGACACGTCGGAGGCTGGGATAGGTGCTGTACTTTCCCAGCGCTCGGGCACACCACCCAAGCTCCGCCCCTGTGCATTCTTTTCAAAGAAGCTCAGTCCGGCGGAGCGCAACTATGATGTGGGGGACCGGGAGCTGTTGGCCGTGGTCCAAGCCCTGAAAGCGTGGAGACATTGGCTTGAGGGGGCTAACCACCCTTTTCTCATTTTGACTGACCACCGCAATCTGGAGTACATCCGGGCGGCGAAGAGATTAAACCCTCGCCAGGCAAGGTAGTCAATGTTTCTCACCCATTTTTGTTTCTTCATTCCGTACAGGCCAGGTTCCCAGAACGCTAAGGCAGATGCTCTGTCCCGACTGTATGACACGGAGGAGAGTTCCATGGAGCCCACTCCCATATTTCCGGCGTCGTGTCTGGTGGCACCGGTGGTGTGGGAAGTGGACGCGGACATCGAGCGGGCGTTGCGTAACGAACCCATTCCTCCCCAGTGTCCAGAGGGTCGTGTGTACGTCCCGCTGGAGGTCCGCGATCGTTTGCTCGGGCAGGCTTCGGCGTTTGTCGTCACCGGAATACTAGCTGCTGCCGATCTATGTTCTATGTTTCTATGTTGCACCTGTTGTCTATTGTTACACACCTGTTGCCCATTATTGGGATCACTCCTTCCCTATTTAACCCAGTGGCTCCCAATGTGTTTTGTGCGTGGTTGTTTTTCGTTTCGTGTGTCGTTGGTGAGCGGGTTAGTTCCTCCCTGTGTGGAGGTATTCTGTGTTGCATTCTTTACTTATTTCAGTAAAGTACGTTTCTTCGAGTTCTGTTTCCTGCACCTGACTTCGAACCACCGCATTACACTGACACTTGTGACAATTGGTATGAGCTTGAAATGTCTCTCTGGTCCTTCTCCTATTTGTATTGTGTGTTATATATATATATGTATATATGTATATGTATATATATATGTGCTTTTTTGTATATAATAGTAGTATAAGTTGTATAGTATAGCTAGTATAAGTATTATGTGTTTCTAGTTTGTTCCTTTCTTCACATGTTTTATTTTTGAATCAAAGTGGCTGCATCTAACATTAGATATCAGTGAACAAATGCCGTGGTCAAGGCTATGACGGCACTAGTGCAATGAGGAGAGCTTACTCAGATATTCAAAAGCGCATATCAGACTGAGAGCCTAATTCTTCTTAGGTAGTTCTTTATGAGTTTTAGTTTAGGAAACAATCTCTCCGGAGAAGCGACAGTTACAAAGATGGTAAAAACAGCTTGATTGCCGTAGCAACATTAGGGAAACTGGGCAGAAGGGAGTTGTGCTTCGAATACAGCAGTTCTGTAACATCTTTAATTGAGCCTCTCATTCTCCTTAATTGCCGGCCTCAACACGCTACGGAAAGAGATTAACTTGATAGGAACCTCTGGGGACAGGTCGTCTGGATACTGGACAGCCAATAAATCGGCAGATGCAAACTGATTATCATCTTTAGCACACAACAGTTCTTGAGGGCTTGCTACTGGTGAACTGGCGTTTGAGTTATGTGGTTGCAATATCAACAGTCCTTTATCTCTGGTATATCTTGGAATACATAATTCAAGACTAAGTTTAAATTGTGTGCAGTGCAATGGACATATACTACACAATGTCTCAGGAAAGACTGTCTGGATTGGCAATACTCAGTATAGAAAACTGTCGGGCCCGCAACCTGGACCTACAGGCCGTGGTGAAAACACTTGCACACAAAAAAAGGAGGACTTCAGGACACCAGAGGAGTCTCTCACATTGGATTTAATTCAATTTAATTTAATATTGCAGCCCATTTGTGTAGGCTATTAGCCAGACAAAACCTGCAGTGTTCAACACTGAATAGTGGCTGAATTTATCCTCAAGCCGACTACTTTTTTCCTCATTGTTAGGCTATTTGATGTATTTTTATAAAAAGTTTATGACTAGAAGCTAAAAACGGTAAATAGATATAGACAGTACACTGCATAAAGAAACAATCCCTAGTAAGCTAGTGTTTTGAGGGTGAACTCTATTATTTGTCATTAATAGACTGTTAATACGCACAACTTTCTATCCAAGCTGGGAGAGAGCGCGAGGACAGCTCATGTCATGCAGGTTCAGGTAGCCTATACAGGACAGTTGTGTGTGTGTGTGTGTGTGTGTGTATATGTATGTGTATGTATATATATATACATACAGTGAGGGAATAAAGTATTTGATCCCCTGCTGATTTTGTACGTTTGCCCACTGACAAAGAAATGATCAGTCTATAATTTTAATGGTAGATTTATTTGAACAGTGAGAGACAGAATAACAACAAAAAAATCCAGAAAAATGCATATAAAAATGTTATAAATTGATTTGCATTTTAATGAGGGAAATAAGTATTTGACCCCCTCTCAATCAGAAAGATTTCTGGCTCCCAGGTGTCTTTTATACAGGTAACGAGCTGATATTAGGAGCACACTCTTAAAGGGAGTGCTCCTAATCTCAGTTTGTTACCTGTATAAAAGACACCTGTCCACAGAAGCAATCAATCAATCAGATTCCAAACTCTCCACCATGGCCAAGACCAAAGAGCTCTCCAAGGATGTCAGGGACAAGATTGTAGACCTACACAAGAATGGAATGGGCTACAAGGCCATCGCCAAGCAGCTTAGTGAGAAGGTGACAACAGTTGGTGCGATTATTCGCAAATGGAAGAATCACAAAATAACTGTCAATCTGGCATGGGGCACCATGCAAGATCTCACCTCGTGGCGTTGCAATGATCATGAGAACGGTGAGGAATCAGCCCAGAACTACACGGGAGGATCTTGTCAATGATCTCAAGGCAGCTGGGACCATAGTCACCAAGAAAACAATTGGTAACACACTACACCGTGAAGGACTGAAATCCTGCTGCGCCCGCAAGGTCCCCCTGCTCAAGAAAGCACATATACAGGGCCGTCTGAAGTTTGCCAATGAACATCTGAATGATTCAGAGGAGAACTGGGTGAAAGTGTTGTGGTCAGATGAGCCCAAAATCGAGCTCTTTGGCATCAACTCAACTCGCCGTGTTTGGAGGAGGAGGAATGCTGCCTATGACCCCAAGAACACCATCCCCCCCGTCAAACATGGAGGTGGAAACATTATGCTTTGGGTGTGTTTTTCTGCTAAGGGGACAGGACAACTTCACCGCATCAAAGGGACGATGGACGGGGCCATGTACCATCAAATCTTGGGTGAGAACCTCCGTCCCTCAGCCAGGGCATTGAAAATGGGTCGTGGATGGGTATTCCAGCATGACAATGACCCAAAACACACGGCCAAGGCAACAAAGGAGTGGCTCAAGAAGAGGCACATTAAGGTCCTGCAGTGGCCTAGCCAGTCTCTAGACTTTAATCCCATAGAAAATCTGTGGAGGGAGCTGAAGGTTCGAGTTGCCAAACGTCAGCCTCGAAACCTTAATGACTTGGAGAAGATCTGCAAAGAGGAGTGGGACAAAATCCCTCCTGAGATGTGTGCAAACCTGGTGGCCAACTACAAGAAACGTCTGACCTCTGTGATTGCCAACAAGGGTTTTGCCACCTAGTACTAAGTCATGTTTTGCAGAGGGGTCAAATACTTATTTACCTCATTAAAATGCAAATCAATTTATAAAATTTTTGACATGCATTTTTCTGGATCTTTTTGTTGTTATTCTGTCTCTCACTGTTCAAATAAACCTACCATTAAAATTATAGACTGATCATGTCTTTGTCAGTGGGCAAATGTACAAAATCAGTAGGGGATCAAATACTTTTTTCCCTCACTGTATATATATATATGTATATATATATATATATATATATATATATATACTGCTCAAAAAAATAAAGGGAACACTAAAATAACACATCCTAGATCTGAATGAATGAAATAATCTTATTAAATACTTTTTTCTTTACATAGTTGAATGTGCTGACAACAAAACACACAAAAATTATCAATGGAAATCAAATGTATCAACCCATGGAGGTCTGGATTTGGAGTCACCCTCAAAATTAAAGTGGAAAACCACACTACAGGCTGATCCAACTTTGATGTAATGTCCTTATAACAAGTCAAAATGAGGCTCAGTAGTGTGTGTGGCCTCCACGTGCCTGTATGACCTCCCTACAATGCCTGGGCATGCTCCTGATGAGGTGGCGGATGGTCTCCTGAGGGATCTCCTCCCAGACCTGGACTAAAGCATCCGCCAACTCATATATATACACACACACACACACACATATACATACATACATACATACATACTGTACATACATACATACATACATACATACATATACACGTACCTACATATATACACATACATACATAAAGTATTCAGACACCTTGACTTTTTTTCTCATTTTGTTAGGTTACATCCTTCTTCTAAAATTGATTAAATTGTTTTTTTCCCCTCATCAATCTACACATACCCCATAATGACGAAGCAGAAACCATTATTTGTGAAATATTACATTTACATAAGTATTCAGATCCTTTACTCAGTACTTTGCTGAAGCACCTTTGGCAGCGATTACAGCCTCGAGTCTACTTGGGTATGATGCTACATGGCACACCTGTATTTGGGGAGTTTCTCCCATTCTTCTCTGAAGATCCTCTCAAGCTCTGTCAGGTTGGATGGGGAGCGTTGCTGCACAGCTGTTTTCAGGTCTCTTCAGAGATGTTCGATCGGGTTCAAGTCCGGGCTCTGGCTGGGCCACTCAAGGACATTCAGAGACTTGTCCCGAAGCCACTCCTGCATTGTCTTGGCTGTGTGCTTAGGGTCGTTGTCCTGTTGGAAGGTTGAACCTTCGCCCCCAGTCCGAGGTCCTGAGCGCTCTGGTGCAGGTTTTCATCAAGAATCTCTCTTTACTTTGCTCCATTCATCTTTGCCTCAATCCTGACTAGTCTCCCTGTCCCTGCCGCTGAAAAACATCCCTACAGCATGATGGTGCCACCACCATGCTTCACTGTATGGATGGTGCCAGGTTTCCTCCAGATATGACGCTTGGCATTCAGGCCAAAAAGTTAAATCTTGGTTTCATCAGACTAGAGAATCTTGTTTCTCATGGATTGAGAGTCCTTTAGGTGCCTTTTGGCAAACTCCAAGCGGGCTGTCATGTGCCTTTTACTGAGGAGTGGCTTCTGTCTGGCCACTCTACCATAAAGGCCTGATTGGTGGTGCTGCAGAGATGGTTATCCTTCTGGAAGGTTTTCCCATCTCCACAGAGGAATTCTAAAGCTCTGTCAGAGTGATCATCGGGGGTCAACTCCTACATTGCGGGGCCAAGAGAAACTGCGTTACGCCAGTGAGTAGGCTATATTTCACACTGTCCTCAATATTTTGAATATCTCTAATCGCATACTTTTTTGCTTTGGGATCTGTTTAGATTATGCTTTGGGATTATGACCCTGTTGTCCTCACCCATCACCATGTGTAGCAGGTACTTCTCTGCAATCATGCAGTTGCACTGCTCTTCCAGACGACATACTTCTTTCTCCCAGCTCAGTGTGACAGCTGTGCCTCCTGTTCACAGCTGTACAGAGGTAGAAGAATGATGGCACAAACCGAGAACAACTAAGTGATTTAACAGTAAATTATAGGTGCAATTACAATGTCTAGATTTACCCACAGTAGCTAAAGAATCACATTCCTTGAGAGAATAATGTACACCCTTGATTACTGTTCACTGTCAGTGGTCCACATTCAGTGTTTACAAAAACAGTGTTTTCCTGATCTATGATTGGTTCTCCTTCTCAGAGGTTGCAAACATAGCTCTGCATTTGTCTCACAGGGTGTGAAACCTGGGCCCATCGACAAGATGGTTATATCCAAGCCTACACCAAACCGCATGGCAGAAGGAGTGAGGTAAGCTATGAAGTTGCTATATTTCATTGTTTCAGATCTCATCATTTCTGTCTACAAATTCACTGATTCTGTGTTTCTATGTTGTACACTATAGAAGCACACGCTACAAAGGAATGGTTGGACTGTTGGCGGATCTCTCTGTGCTGAAGGTGGAAGAGACCGACAGGGATTTCCACATTGGACAAACCACTGGTGACCACAATAGGCATGACTGTCGACAGGCCTCTAGTGGAATCTGCTTCCGGGTTGGTGCAGAAGGGGAGTGTCTTAACTTACCAGCAGCCAAAGCTTACTACTAAGCACATCAAACTCCACCAAGATGCTCCATCAAATCCATCCTTACCTCTAGTCGACTACCAGCTTGGCCTAACGCAGTGCGTGTTTGTTTCCCATGGAATGGCCACCTTTTGGGTTTTTTGAAATAAAGTGCCCCAACGTCAAAAATGATGTTAATTGCAAATAGGAGGGGCCAACTGCTCATTACTGGGCTATAGTGGTGTTGTCTGTGCCCAGGAAGATGTGCTTGTGCAGCGACTGCATCCTGACCCGGAGGTCACAGGGGTGATCAGAGAGAAGACAGACTCCTGTTACTTCAACATGTACATGCACAAGTACTTGTCTGTGAAGCCACAGTACTAAATCTGTTTCAGCCGAACTGCAGCCCCACAATGTGTGAAGCCCTTAAATTGAATTTAACTAATTTCTTGTTGGTTATTGGTTTGTTTGCAAGGTGATTCTAGTCTAGATGTAAGAGCCAAATTGATATTTGTATGAATTATATTTAGAATTATGAAATGAAATTGACTTGTATAACAGTCATGGGGTGCAGTCAGAGGCCTAATGGGAAAGGCTGGCAAGAGCCCATACAGAGTCTTTTGACCGTGCTATCTGTGCATCCGCTATTGTTTGATTCAAGAACACCTAAGGTATAGTTCAATGTGTTGTGTATATTCATATATTTATAAAAACATATATATTTCTTGTAACAGTATGTATGTATGTGTGTGTGTGTGTGTGTTTGGAATAGAAATGTCACTTAAATGTGTAGCGAACACAATGTACAATTACTAAAATACTCGTCTTAAACTATATGTGCAACTGGGCTAGGATACTCTTAATCGGAATAGGTTTGCTCTTGGAGGAATAATGAAACAGGAAACGAACTTTTAAAATAGGAAAAACCTAAGCCGGCATATTTATTCACAACTGGTAAATGGTAATCAACTGATAATCAAGGTTTAAAATAAAATGTCAATGTCAGTATTACAAATAATTAAAGTATCAAAATGTCATGTCAATATCAAAGAAATTCATCAGTGTCAATATAAACGATACGTTTCTTTTCCCTCAAATGGATCCTCAGGCGAGCGAACTTCTGCTGTTGGCATTTGGCTCTGTTTTAAGAGGAATGGGGGACAGTAGACCTTCCCTGGTACAAGGTAATCGATGAGGAACCCCTTGTTGGCCATTACTGCCATATCCTCGGTGAGATGGTGTTGGATGCCTGACTGTATTTGTTGCAGATGGAGCCTGCATACAGTGAGGACACAAAGCTGATCGACCATGAAGAGCTATTCCTACTAATGCGTCCATTGTGCAGTGGGATTTGTAGTTGGAGAACATCTCACTCTGCAGCAGAAGAGAGGACGGTGTCTGACACCTAAGCTCCAGCAAGTTGGCCTTCAATTCCTCTGATGACATCAAGATGGTCACTGTTTCGAGCTGTGTGTATAGGAAGTTGGCCCACTTGATGATGATCCTACTGACTGTAAAGGGATGGATGTGAAAGTGTTGGCCCAGGTGTCTGTCCTTCAACCCTGGAGCGAGATGTGTGAGGAAGAGGAATAGCTCATCCACTGGTTTCCGCAAACACAGGCAACATATATATCTACAGTGCCTTGCAAAAGTATTCATCCCCCTTGGCGTTTTTCCTATTTTGTTGCATTACAACCAGTAATTTAAATGGATTTTTATTTGGATTTCCATGTAATGGACATACACAAAATAGTCCAAATTGGTGAAGTGAAATGAAAAAAATTACTTGTTTAAAAAAATTATAAAATATAAATAACGGAAAAGTGGTGCATGCATAAGTATTCACCCTCTTTGATATAAAGCCCCTAAATAAGATCTGGTGCAACCAATTACCTTCAGAAGTCACATAATTAGTTAAATAATGTCCACCTGTGTGCAATCTAAGTATCACATGATCTGTCACATGATCTCAGTACATATACACCTGTTCTGAAAGGCCCCAGAGTCTGCAACACCACTAAGCAAGGGACACCACCAAGCAAGCGGCACCATAAAGACCAAGGAGCTCTCCAAACAGGTCAGGAACAAAGTTGTGGAGAAGTACAGATCAGGGTTGGGTTATACAAAAATATCCGAAACTTTGAACATCCCACGGAGCACCATTACATGCATTACTAAAAAATTGAAAGAATACTGTATGGCACCCACAACAAACCTGCCAAGAGAGGGCTGCCCACCAAAACTCATGGACCAGGCAAGGAGGGCAATAATCAGAGAGGCAACAAAGAGACCAAAGATAACCCTGAAGGAGCTGCAAAGCTCCACAGTGGAGATTGGAGTATCTGTCCATAGGACCACTTTAAGCCGTACACTGTACAGAGCTGGGCTTTACGGATAGAGTGGCCAGAAAAAAGCCATTGCTTAAAGAAAAAAATAAGCAACCACGTTTGGTGTTCGCCAAAAGGTATGTGGGAGACTCCCCAAACATATGGAAGAAGGTACTCTGGTCAGATGAGACTAAAATTGAGCTTTTTGGCCATCAAGGAAAACGATCTGTCTGGCGCAAACCCAACACCTCTCATCACCCCGAGAACACCATCCCCACAGTGAAACATGGTGGTGGCAGCATCATGCTGTGGGGATGTGTTTCATCGGCAGGGACTGGGAAACTGGTCAGAATTGAAGGAATGATGGATGGCGCTAAATACAGGTTAATTCTTGAGGGAAACCTGTTTCAGTCTTCCAGAGATTTGAGACTGGGACGGAGGTTCACCATCCAGCAGGACAATGACCCTAAGCATACTGCTAAAGCAACACTCAAGTGGTTTAAGGGGAAACATTGAAATGTCTTGGAATGGCCTAGTCAAAGCCCAGACCTCAATCCAATTGAGAATCTGTGGTATGACTTAAAGATTGCTGTACACCAGCGGAACCCATCCAACTTGAAGGAGCTGGAGCAGTTTTACCTTGAAGAATGGGCAAAAATCCCAGTGGCTAGATGTGCCAAGCTTATAGAGACATACCCCAAGAGACTTGCAGCTGTAATTGCTGCAAAAGGTGGCTCTACAAAGTATTGACTTTGGGGGGGGGGGGTGAATAGTTATGCACGCTCAAGTTATGTTTTTTTGTCTTATTTCTTGTTTGTTTCACAATAAAAAATGCATGTTGTTCAAATCAAATGATACAAACCCCCCAAAAATCAATTTTAATTCCAGGTTGTAAGGCAACAAAATAGGAAAAATGCCAAGGGGTGTGAATACTTGATTAGTTTGATGTCATTGCTGTACATTTGTATCAAATAATTGTTGTTGGTTTTATAGGGCCTGCACAGCCATTTTGTAGGCAGCAGCATAATAATGTTTTAAGGAGGTTGACTGTGGATGCATCGTGTGTGTATTTAATGTAACATTGTTGTATTGTGTATTTCATTTAACATACACCACATTCTCAAGAATATTCTTATTGATAATAACCCAATGTTTAAACTAATTTACAACATGAAAACAATCAAAATCTTGCAGAGTACTTGGATGGAAGAGTGACCTCCTCATTCCTCAGTGGCCATCAGACTCCAGGCCATCAGACTTAAGTAGTCACCACTAGTCGGCCTCTGCCCAGTACCATGCCCTGAACAGTTTTACAGCCTGAATTTAAAATGGATTACGTTTAGATTTCTTTGTCACTGGCCTACACACAATACCACATAATGCTATCTACACCACACAGATAATTCAAATTATCAAAGCTTGATGATTAGTTGATTATTTGAATCAACTTTGTAGTCTAGGGCAAAAACCATAAACGTGCACCACTTGGGGTCCTGAGGACCGAGTTTGGAAAACCCTGCCATAATGTCAAAGTTTTTCGAAATTTTTACAAATTAATTTTAAATGAAAAGCTGAAATGTCTTGAGTCAATAAGTATTCAACCCCTTTTTTATGGCAAGCCTAAATAAGTTCAGGAGTAAACATTTGCTGAACAAGTCACATAGTAAGTTGCATGGACTCAATAATAGTGTTTAACATGATTTTTGAATGACTACCACATCTCTGTACCCCACACATACAATTTTCTGTAAGGCCCCTCAGTCAAGCAGTGAATTTCAAACACAGATTCAACCACAAAGACCAGGGAGGTTTTCCAGTGCCTCGCAAAGAAGGGCACCTATTGGTAGATGAGTAAAAAAAAAAAAGCAGACATTGAATATCCCTTTGAGCATGGTGAAGTTATTCATTACACTTTGGATGGTGTATCAATACACCCCGTCACTACAAAGATACAGTGCTGGAGTCCTTCCTAACTCAGTTGCCGGAGAGGAAGGAAACCACTCATGAGGCCAATGGTGACTTTAAAACAGTTACAGAGTTTAATGGCTGTGATAGGAGAAAACTGAGGATGGATCAACAACATTGTAGTTACTCCAGAATACTAACCTAATTGACAGAGTGAAAAGAAGGAAGCCTGTACATAATAAAAATATTCAAAAACATGCATCCTGTTTGCAACAAGGCAGTAAAGCAGGGGTGTCAAACTCATTCTATAGAGGGCCGAGTGTCTGTGGGTTTTTGTTTTTTCCTTTCAATTAAGACCTAGACAACCAGGTGAGGGGAGCTCCTTACTAATTAGTGACCTTAATTCATCAATCAAGTACAAGGGTGGAGCAAAAACTTGCAGACATTCGGCCCTCCGTGGAATGAGTTTGACACACTGCAATACTGCAACAAATGTGGCAAAGTAATTCACTTTTTGTCCTAAGTTTTGGGGCAAATCCAATACAACACATTACTGAGTTTCACTCTCCATATTCTTAAGCAGAGTGGTGGCTGCATCATGTTTATGGGTATGCTTGTAATCGTTAACGACTGGGGAGTTTTTTAGGATAAAAAATAAAGAGAATGGAGCTAAGCACAGGCAAAAAATCCGGAGGAAAACCTGGTTTAATCTGCTTTTCACCAGACACTGGGAGATTAATTCACCATTCAGCAGGACAATAACCTAAAACACAAGGCCAAATCTACACTGGAGTTGCTTACCAAGAAGAGAGTGGCCGAGTTACAGTTTTGACTTAAATCTACTTGAAAATCTATGGCAAAACCTGAAAATGGTTGTCTAGCAATTATCAACAACCAATTTGACAGAGCTTGAAGAATTTAGACAATAATAATGGGCAAATGTTGCACAGTCCAGTTGAGGAAAGCTCTTAGAGACTTACCCAAAAAGACTCACAGCTAATCGCTGCCAAAGGTGCTTTTACAAAGTATTGAATCAGGGTATGAATACTTACGTAAATGATATATTTCTTTTAAATAATTGTGCAAAAAATATCTAAAAACATGTTTTCACTTTGTCATTATGGGGTATTGTGTGTAGATGAGTGAGTATTTTTTTTTTCTACATTTTTTATTCAGGCTGTACCACAGCAAAATGTGGAATAAGTAATTTATATATATACTGTATATGCACGATACAAATAGGTGAAGGACCAGAGAGAAATTGCAAGCTAATACTAATACAGGCGACCAATGGCTAAAAACAGGTTCCCAGGAAAAATAAAATAAAGTGGTTCCCAGGAAGCAGATCGCCATGACCTTTATTATCAGGAAAACACGCCCATCCCCCCCTAAACCCACGCCCGGGTCCTTGGGAAGTCCTTGACCGTACCAAAACTCTGTGCAGGGAAAAGATGAATAATTGTCATCGCAAGGATAAGAACCGAGAGTGAAAATAAGTTGTTTGACCAAAAACAATTTAAGATTTGATGCAAACATCAACTGAATGCTTTCAAAATAATTTTCAATATGTTTGAATAAAAAAAATCATGCAATTCAATATTTTGGGTTTACAATTTTTTTTGAATTTTCTGTTTCAATGTGCATTACTTCACTTTCACTTAAAATTAAAATAAATGTTTAACGTAATTTTTTATTTTGGGCCAATTCTTTTGAACAATGTGACTCCATAGGGCTACCACGAGGAAGAGAGGATAATTATCTATTCTGTTTGTGAATTTAAAAGGATATTTATGGAAGAAGGGGGGTGCGTGTCTGTGTGTGTAAGTGTTTAAGTGTGTGCGTGTGTGGCAGGGGAAGAAAGCAAGATCCACTGAAAGAGGAGAAGAAAGCACACCAGTGAAACAAAAAAACAAACATAAAAAACAAAAAAACCGCTGACTTCTTACTTTCTCCTGCCTTGGCGGAGAAATAAACAGTGATTATCAAATCAGTTACAACCGCTGTGTCATAAATCACTGCATATGAGAGGAAAAATGACACCTCATTGCCGCTTCGCTCCCCTTCCTCTCCTCTCCTTTCTGCATGTCTTTGTTTTCTCCCGGAGAGCCCTCTCATGAATGATTTAAAGAGCGATCTGTTTTCTGAGAGAAAGCTGTCTCTCTAGCAGGAAGTTAACCTCTGAGGGGCGGAGCTTGTGTGAGGTAATCTATAAGGGGCGTGGAAAGCCAAAGGGTTTACTCAGGGCCGGTCTTTGCTGTTCTGCAAAGACCGGCCCTGAGGTAAGACCAAAAAATGCCTCCCTCTGCAAAACTAGAATAGTCCCAGTAA